CATTTTTCCAAAAAGGAGAGTTTTCTTAAAAAAAAAAAAAAAAAAGAAAAGCCCCGTGAGGGACTGACTCTTCCTCTCCATTTTACACACAGAACCTGTGTGGCAGAAGCACGGAGCAGAGAACAGCCGAAGGGCATGTTTTACTTTACAGAACCACAATATTTTACTCCAGCTTTGCTGAATAAGGAAGAAGAGAGGGAACTGAGTCCTCTTTTTGGACCTGGTGACAAACACTCCCACGGTACACAAAGAATTATGACAAGTGTTTTGGCAGATGACAAGACATCCCCATACCTTTATAGTCTTCCATTAAAGAGCTTGTAGTTAAAAAACGTAAATGTCTATATTTGACTTCTAAAGTTACAGTTATGTCTTGTACCAGTGCCAAGAGCACATCCCAAAGGGCTCCTCGCATTTATTTCACATACATTTAGTAACACTGTCAGTGGACAGAGGGCAGATAGAGTGCACAAGAGAGGTTTTGTGAGCACCGTAATAGCAGCCATCCTCTTGCATTGTAATTTGAACCAGGCTGACCCAACGGGGACAGTCACTGCACCTATCTACTAGTGATCTGAATCACGACATTATTGCTTTGGTAGGGGATAACTGCAGGAAGTCAATGCACCCAAGGAGCAGAAGTTGAGTCAGCCCTTCTCTGACAAAGTGTTTCATTACTAACATTCACCTAAGGTCTATTTTTTCCACAAAGAAAATCCGCTCCTTTACTTGTCTCTCATTATGAGTTTATCTGAAAAGGACCAAGCCACTTGGTTTTATAAAGAGTTAAATCAGAAAGGTATTAGGCGTGGAATATCTGACCGTAACAACGAGGCCAGCAAGAGTCATGAAACTGTGTGTGGTACACAGAATAGTTTTCTAAATTGAATGTTTCTCTTGAGTTTTCCATGGAAAAATATGGTACTCCTCAGTGTGACAATGCAAAATAAACAGTGCAGCTTCTGAACAGAACTGTCATGACTTAAGCCTTTCAAATTGCTCCTCAGTCTCATAGGAAGATGCCAGCATTCCTCTATCTGCTTATTTGCTTGACTGTTCAAAAAGTCTGCTTTCTAAACAAATTACAGAGGTAAGTATCCTAATGCTATGTTATTCTCATTACTGAGGCACCATCCTGCATACTCACTTTGGCAAGCCAAGCACAAGCTCCTGTTTATTGCACGAGTGTAACTACAACACAGGTTTCTGCTAAACTAGAAAGAAGCCTAAGTAACATGTAGTTATAAGTTTTTGCTCAGAAACTGAATTGTACTACCGCAAAGAAAGAAAATTAACGTTGTTTTCCCTCTCCAGGCTGCATGGGGGAATAGCATCTTTAAGATGAAACTGCAAGGTACTCACTGTAATATAAATTTTGTTTAAAAACGATAGTGGTATTTTCTGCAGAGCAGCTTGTAAAGCACGTTTCATGTTATGGTTACAGAGAGGCATGTTTACACACCAGTTATAGTAAAAATGCTCAAACCAGCAGCTGGTAGAAAGTCAGGAGACATTTGCTAAGACAAATGGGCTTGGTTTCCCACAGCCTCTGCGCCTTTTATAAACTGGTACACCTTAAGAGTAAAGCAGGATCATTCTTGCCTGGTAAAACCGTCATGTCTGATTTACACACACACAAACTGTGACCAAGATACAATTCAGATGAAAAGAAAAACCAAAAAAATGCCAAGTCCATAGAAATCAACAATTTTACCGTAAAGCTTGCCGGTATGAAGATTAGCAAGCGTAAAAGCTGGATCTTACCATTAGCATTTTTCCCACAGATGAGATGCTCGTAAGGTTGCAACACTCCCCAAAGTTCAGCATCGTTGTTGATAACCATCTCCAGGATTTCAGCTGAGATCTCCCCTCCTCCACCATCCGGGCTCTGACTTGCCAAAACCCTAGCCTTAATCTCTTCTACAAGGTTTTCCATGCAAGCGGTTAAAGAGATGGCGGCATATTCGTGGATCCTAACTGAGATCCTAGTGTCCACCATCCACCTGAAAAACCTCCCCACTGAAAAGGTGAGGCCGCACCTAGCTGATTTACCTTTCCTCAGTCCGTCTCCAGCGCTCATGCTGTACAGAGACAGAGCCTTGACAGTCGCCAAGACACAGCTTTCTGACAACGACCAGCTCTGGATGAGCTTGATAGCGCTCTGCACCTCAAACCTGGTGCACTTGGAGTGCATCACGCTGAGCCGCTGAGCTTCCCTGGAGACCCTGATCAAGGCGCGCCTCAGTAACTGCGAGAGCCGCCTGACAGCTTCCTGAGAAAAGGTTCTGGTATTGCCATCTCGCTTCCCTTTTCTGAGTATTTTTCCAATGTCTTCATCAGTCCAAGGGTACTCCTCTAGATCCGGCAGCTTAGGACACTTGGAAAAGATATCTGCAACCTCGGGGTCTTCCGGCAGAACAGTGTTCACGGTATCCCAGCTGTTATTCCTACTGTTCATGGAGCCCGAGTAGTACCACCAGTTGCCTCTGTGCTGAGAAGAGGTGAAGGCTTGGGAGTTGGACTTGGAAGAAGAGAGACTAAGGGACCTGCAGGAATCCCCTGCCCCATAACCAGAGTCCAAAGTTAAATCCTCCAGGGTCTTCAGAGTAGAGCTGTATATCCCAGCCATAGGAAAGACGGGTTAAGCCAACCGCAAAGAGCACGAAAGGTGAGGCTGGGACAGATCCCTCCTGCGCCTACCGAGCCAGAGCCGCCTGCTCCGCCAGCGGCGCGGGAGGATTTGCAGCACGGCGGGAAGGAGCCCTCCCCGCACGCCGGCTCCGCCGAGGGCCAGCTACCTCCATCCCGCAGGGAGGCTGCGCTCAGCCATG